AATTGAGAAATCAAAAAATCCGAAAATTTATAAAAAAAGATGAATTATCGAAAAACCGAGAAATCGAAATATCAAAAGATCGAGAATCCGAAAAACGAAAAATTCAGAAATAAAAGTGGCTAAAAATCGAAAAATGGGAAAATTCAAAATTGAAAAATTTTAACTCAAAACCTTTTATTTTCAAAATAGTTTAAGATCTCAGGGGCTCTCAACGTTTTATTTTCCAAAGAATTTATAGAATTTCAGGAGCTCCCGACATTTCATTTTCCAAAGATTTTAAAGGATCTCAGGGACTTTCAACTTTTTTTTTTCACAAGACTTTAAACAATCTCAGGAGCCCCCAAGGTTTTATTTGAAATAGTTTAAAGGATCTCTGGGACTCTCAATGTTTTATTTTCAATAAAGTTTATAGTATCTCAGGGTCTCCCGACATTTTATTTTCAAAAGATTTTAAAGAATCTCAGGGACTCAACTTTTTTTTTTCAAAAGGCTTTAAAAATCTCAGGGCCCCCAAAGTTTATTTGAAACTAAAACTAACGTTTAATTTTTGAAAGGGTTTATAAATTCTCCAAAGTTCTCAAAGTTTTGTTGTGAAATGGTCTACAGAATCTCAGGGGTCCCCAAGGTTTTATTTGAAATAGTTTAAAGAATCTCAGGGACTCTCAATGTTTTATTTTCAAAAAAGTTTATAGTATCTCAGGGTCTCCCGACATTTTATTTTCATAAGATTTGAAAGAATCTCAGGGGCTCCCAACGTTTTATTTTCCAAAGACTTCATAGAATCTCAGGGGCTCCCAACGTTTTATTTTCCAAAGACTTCATAGAATCTCAGGGGCTCCCGACGTTTTACTGTCAAAAGATTTTAAGGAAACTCAGGGACACATTTTTTTTTCAAAATGCTTTAAAAAATCTCAGGACCCCCAAGGTTTTATTTGAAATAGTTTAAAGAATCTCAGGGACTCTCAATGTTTTATTTTCAAAAAAGTTTATAGTATTTCAAGCGCTCCCGACATTTAATTTTTGAAAGGGTTTATAGAATCTCAGGGACTCTCAACGTTTTATGCTCAAAAGAGTTTAAGGAATGTCAGGTGCTCTTGACGTTTAATTTTCGAAAGGGTTTATAGATTTTCCAGGGTTCTCAAAGTTTTGTTGTTGAAATGGTCTACAGAATCTCAGGGGTTCAGGACCTTTTATTTTCAAAATAGTTTGAATCTGAGGGGCTCTCAAGGTTTTATTTTCCAAAGGATTTATAAAATTTCAGGGGGTCCCGACATTTCATTTTCAAAAGATTTTAAAGGATCTCAGGGACTTTCAACTTTTTTTTCACAAGGCTTTAAACAATCTCAGGGGCCCCCAAGGTTTTATTTGTAATAGTTTAAAGAATCTCAGGGACTCTCAATGTTTTATTTTCAAAAAAGTTATAGAATCTCAGGGTCTCCCGACATTTAATTTTTGAAAGGGTTTATAGAATCTCAGGGATTCTCAACGTTTTATTCTCGAAAGAGTTTAAGCTGCTGCTGACGTCAATTTTTGAAAGGGTTTATAGATTCTCCAGGGTTCTCAAAGTTTTGTTGTGGAAATGGTCTACAGAATCTCAGGGGCTCAGGACCTTTTATTTTCAAAATAGTTTAAGAATCTCAGGGGCTCTCAACGTTTTATTTTCCAAAGAATTTATAAAATTTCAGGGGGTCCCGACATTTCATTTTCAAAAGATTTTAAAGGATCTCAGGGACTTTCAACTTTTTTTTTTTCACAAGACTTTAAACAATCTCAGCAGCCCCCAAGGTTTTATTTGAAATAGTTTAAAGGATCTCTGGGACTCTCAGTGTTTTATTTTCAAAAAAGTTTATAGAATCTCAGGGTCTCCCGAGATTTTATTTTCAATAGATTTTAAAGAATCTCAGGGGCTCCCAACGTTTTATTTTCCAAAGACATCATAGAATCTCAGGGGTTCCCGACATTTTACTGTCAAAAGATTTTAAAGAATCTCAGGGACTTTCAACTTTTTTTTTCAAAAGGGTTTAAAAAATCTCAGAGCCCCCAAAGTTTTATTTGAAATAGTTTAAAGAATCTCAGGGACTCTCAATGTTTTATTTTCAAAAAAGTTTATAGAATCTCAGGGTCTCCCGACATTTTATTTTCAAAAGATTTTAAACAATCTCACCAACGTTTTATTTTCCAAAGACTTCATAGAATCTTAGGTGCTCCCGACATTTTACTGTCAAAAGATTTTAAAGAATCTCAGGGACTCTCAACTTTTTTTCAAAAGGCTTTAAAAAATCTCAAGGCCCTCAAGGTTTTATTTGAAATAGTTTAAAGAATCTCAGGGACTCTCAATGTTTTATTTTCAAAAAAGTCTATAGAATCTCAGGGTCTCCGGACATTTTATTCTCAAAAGATTTTAAAGAATCTCAGGGGCTCCCAACGTATTATTTTCAAAAGACTTGATAGAATCTCACGGGCTCTCGACATTTTACTGTCAAAAATTTTAAGGAATCTCAGGGACTCTCAACTTTTTTTTTCAAAAGGCTTTAAAAAATCTCAGAGTTTCCAAGGTTTTATTTGAAATAGTTTAAAAAATCTCAGGGTCTCTCGACATTTAATTTCTGAAAGGGTTTATAGATTCTCAGGGATTCTCAGCGTTTTATGCTCAAAAGACTTTAAGGAATCTCAGGTGTTGTTGACGTTAATTTTTGAAAGGGTTTATAGATTCTCCAGGGCTCTCAAAGTTTTGTTGTTGAAATGGTCTACAGAATCTCAGGGGCTCAGAACTTTTTATTTTCAAAATAGTTTAAGAATCTCAGGCACTCTCAATGTTTTATTTTCAAAAAAGTTTATAGACTCTCAGGGTCTCCCGACATTTTATTTTCAAAAGATTTTAAAGAACCTCAGTGGCTCCTAACGTTTTATTTTCAAAAGACTTCATAGAATCTCACGGGCTCTAGACATTTTACTGTCAAAAGATTTTAAAGAATCTCAGGGACTCTCAACTTTTTTCTTCAAAAGGCTTTAAAAAATCTCAGAGTCCCCAAGGTTTTATTTGAAATAGTTTAAAAAATCTCAGGGTCTCTCGACATTTAATTTTTGAAAGGGTTTATAGACTCTCAGGGATTCTCAGCGTTTTATGCTCAAAAGACTTTAAGGAATCTCAGGTGTTGCTGACGTTAATTTTTGAAAGGGTTTATAGATTCTCCAGGGCTCTCAAAGTTTTGTTGTTGAAATGGTCTACAGAATCTCAGGGGCTCTGAACCTTTTATTTTCAAAATCGTTTAAGAATCTCAGGGGCTCTCAACGTTTTATTTTCCAAAGAATTTATAGAATTTCAGGGGCTCTCGACATTTCATTTTTAAAAGATTTTGAAGGATCTCAGGGACTATAAACTTTTTTTTCACAAGGCTTTAAACAATCTCAGGGGCCCCCAAGGTTTTATTTGAAATAGTTTAAGGAATCTCAGAGACACTCAATGTTTTATTTTCAAAAAAGTTTATAGAATCTCAGGGTCTCCCGACATTTTATTTTTAAAAGATTTTAAAAAATGGGGGGACTCCCAACGTTTTATTTTCCAAAGACTTCATAGAATCTCAGGGGCTCCCGACATTTTACTGTCAAAAGATTTTAAAGAATCTCAGGGACTCTCAGCTTTTTTTTCAAAAGGCTTTAAAAAATCTCAGGGCCCCCAAGGTTTTATTTGAAATAGTTTAAGGAATCTCAGAGACACTCAATGTTTTATTTTCAAAAAAGTTTATAGAATCTCAGGGTCTCCCGACATTTTATTTTCAAAAGATTTTAAAGAATGTCAGGGGCTCCCAACGTTTTATTTTCCAAAAACTTCATAAAATCTCAGGGGCTCCCGACATTTTACTGTCAAAAGATTTTAAAGAATCTCAGGGACTCTCAACAAATCTCAGGGCCCTCAAGGTTTTATTTGAAATAGTTTAAAGAATCTCAGGGACTCTCAATGTTTTATTTTCATAAAAGTTTATAGAATCTCAGGGTACCCTGACATTTTATTTTCAAAAGATTTTAAAGAATCTCAGGGGCTCCCAACGTTTTATTTTCCAAAGACTTCATAGAATCTCAGGGGCTCCCGACATTTTACTGTCAAAAGATTTTAAAGAATCTCAGGGACTCTCAACTTTTTTTTTCAAAAGGCTTTAAAAAATCTCAGAGTCCCCAAGGTTTTATTTGAAGTAGTTTAAAGAATCTCAGGGACTCTCAATGTTTTATTTTCAAAAAAGTTTATAGTATCTCAGGGTCTCCCGACATTTTATTTTCAAAAGATTTTAAAGAATCTCAGGGGCTCCCAACGTTTTATTTTCCAAAGACTTCATAGAATTTCAGGGACTAGGGACATTTAACTGTCAAAAGATTTTAAAAAATCTCTGGGATTCTCAACTTTTTTTTCAAAAGGCTTTAAAAAAATCTCAGGGCCCCCAAGGTTTTATTTGAAATAGTTTAAGAATCTAAGGGACTCTCAACGTTTTATTTTCAAAAAAGTTTAAATAATCTCAGAAGCTCCCGACATTTTATTTTCAAAAGATTTTAAAGAATCTCAGGGGCGTCCAACGTTTTATTTTCCAAAAACTTTATAGAATCTCAGGGGCTCCCGACGTTTTATTTTCGAAAGATTTTAAAAAATTTCAAGGGCTCTGACGTTTTTTTTTCAAAAGAGTTTAAGGAATATCAGCTGTCTCCAACGTTTTATTTTTGAAATAGTTTAAACCCTGTTAAACCCGTCAACCTGTTAAAGATGTAAGTCCAAACCTCCCTCCCCACTCTCCCTCGTTGTGACCATATGGAAAAGCTGGACTTTGGACTACTTTACAATTTCTTCTTTTACATTGTCTTTGTTTTTCAAAAGATAGGTTCGCTGATTTTGCTGGAAGGAGCAGGAAAAATACAAAAAATAATCTTGAAAACATGAAGACACAAACTCTGATTAGGTATGAACTTATGACCGAGATGTTGAAATGGGTGAAAACATATAAAAACAAACAAAGTAAAACGAGTATTGATAATATTTATGTTTGTAGAAAATGCTTTTATTTTGTTTAAACTGCAGGTCTGACCAACATTCTTGCTTCTTTTAAACTATAACTTCCTGTATGGAACGTGTCCCAGTAAATACCTTTTGAAGAATCACCCGTTCCCACTTTACTCCCCAAATATCTACCAGTAAGTTGACCTTTGTCACAATCCTTGTACCACCAAGCTGCAGGTGAATATGCGGCACAATTACCACTCCAAACATCATGGTCTCTATCTTTTGTGCTGAATTTCATACCCAGATGGTAACTCAAACTATCCCCAGCGTTTCCACTGTACCCTCTCAACAATTTCAACAAATACCCCTCTTGCTCGTTACCAATACTGAAAGAACTATACAAAGCGTACACTTTTTTCGAGTCCCAATCTACTAATTCAACAAGCAGTTCGTTAATTTCGGACCCTGGAAACACCAAAGTTGGAAAACGTTACCACAGCGCTCAAAATACCTGTAAGGTAGTGTATGTAGTCCAAACCCAACCAAAATTCGCCGTCTAGAAGACCAAACCCACGCTTGTAGTTGTCCCAATCTAGACCAAACGTCTGAGATCCGTCAAATCTGTTCAGAACGTACGTCCAACCTCCCCCTTTTGTTTCCATGTCGCAATGAACCAGAAAAGGCTCGGGGGCTGTTCTGGGTTGAATAAAATAGACATCGGACTGATTGTAGCCTCTTTTTTGGACTTCCTTACAATGTCTGGGCAAACTTTGTGTGGCTGGGGCTTCAGTTTGCTGCAACTTGTTTTCTAGTTTGTGGGGGAGTTTTTTTAAATTTGCCAAGTCCAAGTTGTGTGCGTCTAGTATTTTTTGAATTAGAGCGACTTGTGATTCTAACGATTTCACCCGATTGTTGAGTTCTCCGGTGTCTTGAGGTGAAAGACGCTCGGTCGTAGAAACAACCACGAACTACACACACTGTCAAAATTAAAATTCAAACTTTGAAACTGTACTTACGGTTTCATTTGTGGCTTCATTTAGAAGCGCAGTTTGTATTAAAAGCAAAAATAAAAATATTGCTTCTGGGAACATTGAGCTGCTCTTGAAGACACAAACTCTGATTACTTTATGAACTTGCGACCCTCGCGGTTTATTTTAGTTCGTGTTATCGGTGACTGTGTTAAATATTATTGTTTAGTGATAACTGATAATTGTAGTTATTTAAGAAGCGTTAAAGTTAAAACAGGAAAATGAGAATTTTTTTTTCGGAAAACGGTTTTAATTAGGAAATATTTTACACGGTTGACTAAATTGTCAGTCTGACCATCATTCTTGCTTCCTTAGGACTGTATTTGTTTCCGAGGAAGGCGTTGCAATACAGACCTTTGTAGTAGTTGTCACTATTCCCACTCTTCCCTAAATATCTTCCAGTAAGTTGACTTTCATCACTAGAGGGCGGATTTATAAGCACAAAAAAATTAAGAATAAACGCTTAAATAAGCACAACATTTTCAATAAAAAAGTTTTATTTTAAGCAAAAAAGCATTAAAAACATAATCATATTACAAATCAAAGAACACTTCTTAGAACTTTGGATAAAATATTATTACAATAATCCTAGACTTGATATTTTACACACGTTTTTGAGTTTTCTTTAAAACAATTTATGATTGTAATATGTTCCAAGTTGTCCACTGTAAAATTTTTTCGCTGATCATTTAAAATGTGTTTAAAATTGGAGAATGTGCGTTCAACATCCACACTCGTTGGCGCAAATTTGAATTTTGCAACTAATGTTGAATCTAACTCCAAATTTTCCACCTTCTGGCCTTGTAAAACACGAGCAGCGTCGGGAAGAACACCGAAACCTGCATTTTTATTTAACACTTCGTCAAGTTTTTGAGATACTCTAGTACCAATATCACCCCTTACCGCGTTTGCTTGTTGTTTAAATTCTTTCACTAAGTTTATGGCATCTACCAACAACATGTTGGGTTTTTCTAACTTTTCTATTACCTCACATACGAACTGATAATTGCTTCTTAGAAAAGCTAGATCTTGTCGCAAATCTTTGTTTTCCAAAATATTTATGCAATCTTTAATCGATTGAGAAGAATCTTCGCTAAACTCCGTAACTACTTCCTCAAATTCTTTGATATATTTGTCATAATAAAATGTGGCCTGTAACCATGTTCCCCACCTCGTTATAATCGACTCTGGGGGCAATGGTATGTTTGGAAATTCTTCCTTAAAATGTTGCACTCTTAGTGGGGCTTTAACAAAAATCTTTTTACCATTTGCCACTAATTTATTAACAGTAGGAAACTGCAAACGTATTCCTTCAGCCACTCTGTTTAAACCGTGGGCAATGCAAGTAGAGTGAATTAAATTGGGGTACAATATTTTTAGATTATTCCCTGCTTTCAACATACAACGAGCTGCATCCGAGATCATCAATAAAATTTTATTGGTAAAAATAGTGACGTAAGACTGTCATTTACAAATCCGGTAATCGTATTGCCATTTGTTTTATCTAACATTTTCAAACTAACTGCATACCCTCGACTAGGGAAATTTTCATTTAAGATTCCAACAATTAAACTTGCCACGTATCTTCCACAACTATCGGTTGTTTCATCGACAGCGAACCATAAATAATTATCTCCAATGCGATGTTTAATTTCGTTGTAAACTTGCTGAAACACTGGGCCTACATAATTTTTTCGGAGAGGACTTTCAACCGGAATATGTCGATTGCAGTGTTTTTCAAGGAATTCTTGAAGAGGGCCTTTCTCCAATTTTTTTAAAGGTATATTGGACTGGATCATCATTTTACATAAATCGAAATTAAACTGAAACTGCTCATCTTTTGTGGAAGTAGATGCAACAGATTCATGTATGGTCTGCTGTTTAATTTTAGAAACTTCAAACATTTTCTTCCTTTCTACATGAAGAGTCGTTCTGACATATTGCGTCACGTTATATTTTTTATCACTTTGAATCTAAAACAACGTACATATACAGGACTAACAAAGGAAAATAGATAAAAAAAAATTAGTGGGCTTACGGTTTTCACACAAGCTCTGCAGAATATTTTGTTGTTTTCTAATTTTAATTCTGGAAAATCCCTTATCCACTCATCCGGCGTCGATTTTACTTTCGGCAATCTTTTAAAATATTAGTAATATTACCAAAAAGAACTCAACATGTAACAAGGGAGAACCACGTATAACAGTGTACTACGACAGATGCGATAGACTGATGGTTGTGAAATAAACGGTTCATTTACTTAAAAGTTTCCATTAGAAAAATTTTAAGGTAGGTAGTTGGGTAGAATAATCCTTTTTTCTAGAAAATCTTCAACGGTCTTGCCGCAAAATGCCGAAAAAGAACATCTGGTTAAAAGCTTTAATTCATTATCAACGGAAGTAAGGATTTAAAGTCATAAAATCTATGGAGTATTTTTCCAATCCTATAATAAAATTTTATTACCCAAACGACCGGAACCTATTCACAGAAAGGGTCTTGAGTAAGTGTACTTCAATGGTCAAGTCCAGGTAAAATGCATACGATACGATACGGCTAACGAACAAGTATTTGTCATCCCGACAAGGCCGGAATTTGAACAAAATATGCATTAAAACTCATATTCGTCGAAAAAAGCATTAAATAAGCATACAAGTTTTAATATGCATAAAATTGAAAAAAAAGCAAATAAGCATAAAAAAATGTGTCAAATGACTCCAAATTGTATCATAGTTACAGATATAAAAAAGTTTTGAAGTGCTTACATTTTTCACAAAAAGCAGTATTTCTCACCCGCAACGCTAAAACTACTATACAAAGCATACACTTTGGTTAAGTCCCAGTTAACCAGTTCGATAAGCAGCTCGTTTAGTCCAGATCCCGTCAAGTGGTGAATGTTCTCCAAACCCAACCAGACTTCCTCATCCGGGACACCAAATCCCTGTTTGTAGCTCTGCCATTTTTGGCCGAAATCCAGAGACGCGTCGAACCTGTTAAGGATGTAAGCCCAACCCCCTCCCCTGGTGTCCATGTCGCACAAAACTGTTAAAGCTTCAGGCGACGTTTTTGGTTGAACGAAATAGACTTTAGTTACGTTGTGGCCTCGATTTTGGACTTCTTTGCAATTTCTCGGTGTTGATGATGGCTTGTGTTTCCTGAATTAAGCGAATTTGAGCTTGTTGAATTTTCTTCATGTCGTCTAGTATCTTTTGAGACAAAGCAAATTGCGTCTGCTGGCTTTTTTCATACTCGTTTGATGTTTTAGAAATTCCTGATTCTAGAGATGTTAATCTGTTTTTTAGGTTTTCGGTGTGGTCGGAAGGCGCAGGAGGTGTGGGAGTAGAAACTACGGTAAACTATTACTTACGTTTTCGCTCCCAGGTACTTGAAAAAGTATCGCCTGGATACAAAACAGAAACGATAAAACTAGTCTTGAAAACATTGGGCTGCACATCTAAGACGCAGTTCTGATTCGCTATGAACTTATGATCTGGAAAATACGTATTGTGATAAGTGGTAAACACCAAGTTATCACTGAAGAGCGCATTCTAGCGCACGAAATTATATTCAGAAACAACTTGTAAATATGCGCAAACGCATACCTATATGCGTATGCTATATTTTTATACAAAAAATTGCTAAAATATGCAAGAAAAATTACTTTTTTTTACACATTAATATTTTATTTCATTTATTAAAACACTTATGATTTAAAATCATGACAATTGAGACAGGGTGGGTGGGCGGGGCTTATATTTTTTTCTTTTGTTCTTAATATCCGTAGCCATTTTTTCACAACAAGAAACTTAGAACAATGTTAAACTGGTACATTTTTTGCAACGAAATATGAATTGCCCGCCCACCCACCCTTTCGCAATTGTGATAATTATTTTTATTCACCGTTAACCAAGAGGGCGGAGCTTAACTACAAAATACTTAAGTATTTCTTTACAACACGAAATTCAAAAACACGTTTTTAATTTCTCTTAAAGAAATAAGGATTTTGCAGTTAAGCTCCGCCTTCTTGGCTCACGATGAATAAAAAAAATCGTCAGAATTGAGATAGGGTGGGTGGGCGGGGTATATATTGTGCCTTTTGTTTTCCTAATATACATAGCCATCTTTTCACAACAAGAAACTTAAAACATGATCAAAACGGTACATTTTTCCAAGGAAGTATGGAGTTTGAAATTAAGCTCCACCGCTCGGCCTACAACGAAAAAAAATCATCAGAATTGAGATAGGGCGGGTGGGCGGGGCTTATATTATGTCTTTTGTTTTTAATATCCATAGCCATCTTTTCACAACAGGAAACTTAGAACATGGTTGAACTGGTACATTTTTGCAAGGAAATATGAATTGCCTGCCCACCCACCCTATCGCAATTGTGATGACTATTTTATTGTCGTGAGCCAAGAAGGCGGAGCTTAACTGCAAAATCCTTATTTCCCTATGAGAACTTAATAACGTGTTTTTGAGTATCGTATTGTAAAGAAATACTTAAGTATTTTGCAGTTAAGCTCCGCCCCCTTGGTTAACGGTGAATAAAAATAATCATCACAAGTGCGATAGGGCGGGTGGGTGGGCTATACATATTTCCTTCTAAAAATGTACCAGTTTAATCATGTTCTAAGTTTCATGTTGTGAAACGATGGCTATGGATATTAAGAACAAAAGACATAATATAAGCCCCACCCACCCGCCCTATCTCAATTCTGATGACTTTTTGATTGTCGTGAGCCAAGAAGGCGGAGCTTAACTGCAAAATCCTTATTTCCCTATGAGAACTTAATAACGTGTTATTGAGTATCGTATTGTAAAGAAATACTTAAGTATTTTGCAGTTAAGCTCCGCCTCCTTGCTTCACGTGAATAAAAATAATCATCACAATTGCGATAGGGCGGGTGGGTGGGCTATTCATATTTCCTTGAAAAAATGTACCAGTTTAATCATGTTCTAAGTTTCATGTTGTGAAAAGATGGCTATGCATATTAAGAACAAATGATAAAATATAAGCCCCGCCCACCCACCCTATCTCAATTCTGATGACATTTTTTTCACATTCTCAGTTTTTAATACATTTTTCCCTTTTCCAATTATTTGTTTCCGATTTTTATTTTTCATTTTCCCGATTTTTTGATTTTACTTTTTGATTTTATATCACAATTTTTCGTTTTTTCATTTCCTTTATTTTTTGTTGTTTCTTTCGATTCTACAAGTTTTCGTTTATTCATTTTTTCAAATTTTCAGGTTTTTTTCAAATGTTTCTGCAAATTTTAGAGTTTGATTTTCACTTTTTACATTTTTCAAGTTTTTATTATACTTACACTTTTTGGTTTTCTTATTTTTGATTTTTCAATTTTACAGTTTCTTGACTTCAAAATTTTTCAATTTTTCGAGTTGTAATTTTTTAATTTTGCAATTTTTCGATTTTACAGTTTCTCATTTTTCGATATTTTCAATTTCTTGTTTCCTCAGATTTCCGAGTTCTCAATTTTTATTTTTCATTTTCCCGATTTTTTTAATCGTTATTTTCTCGGTTTTATGTCACAAATTTTCATTTCTTCAATTCCTTGTTGTTTCTTTCGATTTTTCAATTTTTCGTTTCTTCAATTTTTCGAATTTTCAGTTTCTCAATTTTTCGTTTTCACATTTTTTCATGTTACCGATTTTTACTTTTCAATGTGTGATTTTTCTTTTTTTATTTTTGATTTTTCAATTTTACAATTTCCCGACTTCCAAAATTTTCAATTTTTCGTTCCTTTAATTTTTCGGTTTGCATCAGTTTTTCAATTTGGCAATTTTTCAAAATTACAGATTTTCATTTTCAGATTTTTCAGTTTCTCAATTTTTCATTTTTCTCTTTTCCAATTTTTTGTTTCCGATTTTTATTTTTCATTTTCCCGATTTTTTAATTTTCACTTTTTCGATTTTATATCACAATTTTCCATTTTTTGATTCCTTTTATTTTTTGTTGTTTCTTTCAATTTTACAATTTTTCCTTTATTAAATATACACTTTTGACATGTTTCAAGTTTTCATTATATACTTTTTCGTTTTTTTATTTATGATTTTTCAATTTTACAGTTTGTCGACAATTTTACAATTTCTCATTTTTCCATTTTTCACATTCTCGATTTTTAATGTTTCCCTTTTCAATTTTTCGTTCCCTAAATTTTTCAACTCCCCGATTTTTATTTTGCATTTTCCTGATTTTTTATTTTTCATTTATTCAGTTTTTCAAATTTTCGGACCAATCGATTCCAATTCGTCGATTTTCCAATTTTTAAATTTTCAGTTTGCAGTTTTTGGGTTTCCACCCCTTTTTACTTTTTAGATTTTCAATGTTTCATTAAACTTTAGATATTTCAAATTTTCGACAATTTTATACTTCGATTTCTCAATTTTTTTTCAACTTTTCGATGTTTTAATTTTTCTATAATAAAATTTTTCAATTTTATTTTATTTCTCGATTTATCCAATTCAGATGTTTGGATGTTTTAATTGTTCAATTTCTCATTTTTTTCTATTTCTGGATGTTTCGATTTTTGGATTTCTCGGTTTTTCAATTTTCCAATTTTTCGATTTTTTGATTTTTCAGTTATCCGATTTTTCAAATTTTCTGGCTTTGATTTTTCAGTCCCATGATTTTCCTCGTTTAAAATGTTTCAATTTGCAGTTTTTGGATTTCCAGTCTTCCAATTTTTCAATTTCTTTTATTTTCAATATTTTGATTTTACAATACATATTTCTTTTTTTTATTTTTCACTTTTTCGAATTTTAAGTTTTTCAATTTTTAATCTTTCGATTTTTCAAATTTTCGTTTCTTCAAATTTTCATGTTTGATTTTCACTTTTGACAATTTTCAAGTTTTCATTATATACTTTTTCGTTTTTTTATTTTTAATTTTTCAATTTTACAGTTTCTTGACTTCAAAATTTTTCAATTTTTCGAGTTGTAATTTTTTAATTTTGCAATTTTTCGATATTACAGTTTTTCATTTTTCGATTTTTCAGTTTCTCAATTTTTAATTTTTCCCTTTTTCAAGTTTTCGTCCCCTAAATTTTGCAACTCCCCGATTTTTATTTTTCATTTTCCTGATTTTTAATTTTTTATTTATTCAGTTCAATTCAATTCAATTCGACGATTTTCCAATTTTTAAATTTTTCAGTTTGCAGTTTTTACTTTTTGGATTTTCAATTTTTCGTTAAGCTTTACATTTTTCAAATTTTCGACATTTTTATACTTCGATTTCTCAATTTTTTTCAACTTTTCCATGTTTTAATTTTCCTTTTTTAAAATTTTTCATTTTTTTTTATTTGTCGATTTATCGAATTCAGATGTTTGTTGTCGATTTTTCAGTTTTTCTATTTATAAGTTTTAGAGGTTTTAGGGTTTGAATTTTACGATATTTGGACAACACTAGGTGAAACTACAAATTCCAATGGGCAAACATTGTAGTAGGGAAATATCTGTAGTGGCAGCTTGTACACCAGATTTACTGACATCGAAAATATTGGAAAAACCAATAAACAGTGGCACGTTTTATCAATGAGTCAAATTAAAGAAAAACAAAACTTTCTGAATATTTTATTTAAGTCAATGAACAATATTCTACTCTTTTGGTCTGATCATCATTCTAAGTTCCTTAAGACTGTAGTGATCCGGATGGAACGTATCCCAGTACAGAGCTGACTCGCTCCCAGAACTATTACCACCATGGTAGTACGACCCAGTCGGATTTCCGCTCTTGCAATCCTTGAACCACCATCCCCCATTGGCATAATAAGCACAATCGCTAGTACTAACAGCATCATTATCTACATCTTCCGTACTAAACTTCATTCCTGCCAAATCGCTAAAACAGTCACCAGCCGCCCCACTAAACCCCGCCAGTAGTTTCAAATCGTAACCTTCGTCTTCATTTCCAATACTGAAGTAATCATAGTGCGCATCTGCTTCTACATCGTCCCAATCAACTAGTTCAAACAGAAGTTCGTGTATTTCGTACTCTGGAAAAAAATAAATTGTTTTGTTGTGACGGATTTAGGTAAAACGTACTCGTTAAATAATGTATTTTCTCCAAACCCAGCCAAAACTCTCCAGCCAGGTTGCCAAAACCGAACTTGTAAGTCTTCCAGTCCTGGTTGAAGGGTTGAGACCCATCAACTCTGTTAAGTATGGTTGTCCAGCCGCCTCCGGAGCTGTCCATGTTGCAGTAAACCAGAAAAGGGTCTGGGTAGTCTTGTGGTTGGATGTAGTAAAAGCCAGACTCGGTGGTACCATTCTTAAGAACTTCGTTGCAATTTTTTAGGTACTCGGTACTTACTACCTTTGGTGAAGCAAGATGGAAATAAGCGAACGCGATTACTAGATATTTTAGTACTAATAAACTATTACACATCTTGGTACAGATTTCAGGCAGAATTTTTGAGGTGTTCTACGAATAGTTATCTGGGAAAAACAATGAAGCTGATAAAATTTAAGAGAAACTATTTTATAAATAATACAGATAAAATTTATCAGTGCTGACAAGATACAAGAAATTTGATTGATTGATTAACTTATTGTCAATAGTGATTTATTAATATAAAAAACACTTTTATGTTCGTGGTCTAACCATCATTCTTATTTCTTTCAGACTATATTTTTCTCCACGAAAGGTCTTCCAGTTCATCCCGTGATAAGCGTCCTCTTCCGAAAAATTCCTCCCCAAATATTTCCCAGTGGGATGGGCGTTCTTGCAACTCCGGTACCACCAGCCAGCCTGGAAAAACGAAGCACAATTCCCACCGCTCCACAAATCATTATCGTTGTCTCCGGTACTGAACTTCATATCAACTTCATTAACCAGAGAGTTCCCAGCGGTACCACTGTACCCTTCCAACACTTTGACAACGTAGTCGTCACTCTTACCCCCAACCACGAAGGAGTCATAAAGCCCAAACACCTTTTGTGAGTCCCAGTCGACCAACTCTACAAGAAGTTGGTTAATTTGGTGCCCTAAAACAAGATAGTTAAGTCACAATTGATAAAATTTAAGTGAGTACCGGTTAAGTAGTGAATCTTGTCTAAACCCAACCAAAATTCGTTGCGCAGCCCTCCAAATCCCCGTTCGTAGTCCGAAAAAGGTAAATAGAAGTTTTGGGTACCATTAAACCTGTTGAGGATGGTGGCCCATCCACCTCCTCTGGTGTGCATGTCGCATAGTACCAAAAAAGGTTCAGGGGCTGATTTGGGTTGAACGAAGTAGATACCGGAGATGTTGTAGCCCGTCTTTTGAACTTCCTTACAGTTTTTGGGAACGCTATCGTCGAATGTCTTCAGTTGGTTATTGTCTGGTTGGGGACTAGTGGTGGTGGAAACAATGGTAAAATCTAGAAGAGATGGGTTAATTTTTTCGGATCGAGAGAATCCGATCAGAAGAAGTAGAGTGAAAAGAGCGTGTGAAGACATTGGGTTCGTTACAAAGTACTGGCAAATATCACTCTCGTTTGATAACACTTGGCCAAAGGGTTATCACTCTTCGACGAAAGACTTCTTTATTTTTGTCAGTTTTTCAAGTCATCAATTTTTCAATTTATAAATTTTCGATTTTTCGATTTCTACTTTTTGAAATTCACAATTTTACATTTTTACCATGTTTCAATTTTTTGATTTTTCGAGCTATCGATTTTTTTTATTTAAATTTTAAATTTTTAATTTTCCGATTTTTCGATTCTCGTCTATTTCTATTTCCCAATTTTTTGATTTTCGAATTTTTCGTTGTCACGGTTTTTCAATTTCTCTATTTTCAGATTTTTTCGATTCTTCATTTTTCCATTTTTTAAATTTTGGATTTTTCTATTTCTCGATTTCTCGATTTCTCGATTTTTAGATGCTTCGGTTTCAGGATTTTTCAGTTTTTCGATTTTGAAATTTTAGATTTATTAACCTTTCGATTTTTTGATATTTTGATTTTTGGAATTTCTCAATTTTTCGGCTTTTGATATTTCTCGTTTTCAATTTTTCGATTTTTATAGTTTGGTTTTTGAATTTTTCAATATTTTAGTTTTGCGAAATTTCTATTTTTTACTTTTAGAATTTTCAAATTTTTGATTATTTGTTTTATTGATTTTCTATTTTACGACTATTTTTACATTTACCGACTTTTCAAATTTTCGATTTCTTAATTTGTCACCATTCAATTTTGGAAACTTTTCATTTTCTGGATTTTTCAATTTGTTCGATTTTTTAAATTTTTAATTTTTCGATTTATAAATTTCTCGATTTTTCATTTGTTTTTTATTTACCAGTTTTTCAATTTTTTCATTTTTCAATTTGTTGGATTTCTCTAATTGTGGATTTATTGATATTCCGATTTTTCAATTTTTGAAATTCCCGATTTTCCGATGTTTCGCTTTTGGATTTTTTCAATTTCTTAATTTTTCTATTTACCATTTTTTTTATTTCTCGATCCATCTTTTTTTTAATTGTTGAGTTTTTAATTTTCCGATTTTTCGATTTTCGCGTATTTCTATTTCTCAATTTTTTGATATTCCAATTTTTCGTTGTTTCGGTTTTTCAATTTCCCAATTTTTCGTCATTTCGGTTTTGAGATTTTTCAATATCGCTATTTTCAATTTTTTTCAATTCTTCAATTTTTCAATTTTTTAAAAATTTGGATTTTTCGAATTCCCGATTTCTCGATTACACGATTTTTCGACTTCTCGAATTTTCGATTTCTCGAATTCTCAGGTTTTCAATTTTTGGGCTTTTTAAATTTGACATTTTTCGATTTCACAATTTTTTTGGTGTTTTGGTTTCTTGACGTCTCGGTTTTTCGATTTTTAAAATTTTTCGACTTTCCGACTTTTCGACTTCAATTTCTCAATTTTTTAGTTTCTCGATTTTTCAATTTTTCAATGTTTCGTTTCAATTTTTCGATGTCAGTTTTCGGAATTTTCAATATTTCTCAGGATTAGTCAATGTTTCGACTTTTGATGTTTTGATTTCTCGAAGTTTTCGATTTTTGATATTTCTCAATTTCAAATTCGATTTTTGGTTTTTGAATTTTTCAATACTTTAGTTCTGCGATATTTCTATTTCTCAAGTTTAGAACTAGTAATTTTTTGATTTTTCAGTTTTATTGATTTTCTATTTTTCGACTATTTTTACATTTACCGATTTTTCAAATTTTAGATTTCTTAATTTTTCAATATTTCAATTTTGGAAAATTTTCATTTTCTGGATTTTTCAATTTGTTCAATTTTTAAAATTTTTAATTTTTCGATTTATAAATTTCTCGATATTTGATTTTTTTTTATTTTTCGGTTAGTCAACTTTTCGACGTTTCAGAGTTAGAATTTTTCAGTTTTACAATTCTTCTTCAGTTTCTCAATTCTTCAAATTTCCGATTATCTGATTTTTTAATTATCGATTTATTAATTTTCTGATGTTTCAGTTTTACGACTTTACAATTTTTTTTCCTCCAATTTTTCGTTTTTTAATTTTTTCGATTTTTCAATTTTTTAATAATATCTGACATTTTTAAATCCTCGGTTTTTTTATTTCTCGATTTCTTTTCAATGTTTAGATTTTTCATTTTTTTAATTCATCAATTTTTCGATTTTTTGACTTCGATTTCTTGTTTTTTCAATTTTTGAAACTCCCAGTTTTTCGGTGTTACACTTTTGGATTTTTTTCCCATTTTTCAATTTTTCGATTTTACAATTTTTCGATTTATCGATTTTAGATTTTTTAATTTTTCAATATCTCAATTCTGCGATATTTCTATTTTTTAATTTTAGAATTAAAAAATTTTTGATTTTTCCGTTCTATTGCTTTTCTATTTTTCGACTTTTTAAATAACACGTTTTTCGATTTTACGTTTTTTAATTTACGATTTCTGATTGCGACATCGCAGTTTATCGATTTCAAAAATTTTTCGACATTCCGATTATTACATTTTTCGATTTTTCAAATTTTCGATTTCTTAATTTTTCAAAATTTTAATTCTGGGAACTTTTCCATTTCTGGATTTTTCAATTGTTCGGTGTTTTAAAATTTTTTCTTTTTGATTTACTAGTTTTTCAGTTTTTCGATTTTGAAAATTTTTTGATTTCTCAAATTATCTATTACTGATATTCCGATGTTTCAATTTTTCGAATCAACTTTTCGATATTTCAGTATAGGAATTTTTCAATTTTACAATTCTTCTTCAGTTTCTCGATCCTTCAAGTTTTCGACTTCCGATTTTTCGTTTTAAATTTCTAAATTTTCCGATGTCTCAGTTTTACGGTTTGTCAATTGTTTTTCTCTTCAATTTTTCGATTTTTGAAATGTTTAACCTTAGCCGTTTCGAAATTTTCAATTTTTTAATTTTCCCATTTCTCGATTTTTAGATTTTTGACCTTTTTCAATTCGTCAATTTTTCGATTTTTAGATTTTCCACATTTCAATTTTTTGATTTTTCGATTTCTCGATTTTTCGACCAACCGATTTTCCAATTTTTTGGTTCCTCAATTTTTCGACTTTTCGATTTTAAATTTTTTGGATATAAATAAATAAATAAATAAATAAATAAATAGTTTATTGATCATCCAACGGGCAAATCGCCCACATAGGACATAATGGATATCTCAACTTCTCGATTTTTCTATTTTTCAGTGTTTCAATTTAGTAACTTTAGATTTGTTGTTTTCTCATTTTTTCGGTTTCTCGCCTCTTGGAGTTTTCAATTTTTCGATTTTTCTCAATTCTTTGACCACACGATTTTTCAATTTTTTAATTCCCAAATTTTTCAATTTCCCGGTTTCTCGACTTCTAGATTTCTCTTTTTTTCAATTTTTCAATTTACTAACTCTTAAATTTTTCGTTTTCTCAATTTTTCGGTTCCTCAGCATCTAAATTTTTCAATTTATCAATTTGTCAATGTTTTAACTAAAAGATTTTTCAAATTTTTGATTCCTCAATTTTTCTACTTTTCGATTTTTCATTTTTTAAATTTCTAAATTTTCCGATGTTTCAGTTTTACGGTTTGTCAATTGTTTTTCTCTTCAATTTTTCGATTTTTGAAATGTTTAACCTTAGCCGTTTCGAAATTTTCAATTTTTTAATTTTCCCATTTCTCGATTTTTAGATTTTTGACCTTTTTCAATTCGTCAATTTTTCGATTTTGAGATTTTCCACATTTCAATTTTTTGATTTTTCGATTTCTCGATTTTTCGACCAACCGATTTTCCAATTTTTTGGTTCCCCAATTTTTCGACTTTTCGATTTTAAATTTTTTGGATATAAATAAATAAATAAATAAATAAATAAATAAATAGTTTATTGATCATCCAACGGGCAAATCGCCCACATAGGACATAATGGATATCTCAACTTCTCGATTTTTCTATTTTTCAGTGTTTCAATTTAGTAACTTTAGATTTGTTGTTTTCTCAATTTTTCGGTTTCTCGCCTCTTGGAGTTTTCAATTTTTCGATTTCTCAATTTTTAAAATTCTCAATTTTTCGATGTTTCAGTTTCGGATTTTTTCAATTTCTCAATTTTACATTTTTTACCATGTTTCAATTTTTTGATTTTTCGAGCTAGCGATTTTTTTTATTTAAATTTTAAATTTTTAATTTTCCGATTTTTCGATTCTCGTCTATTTCTATTTCCCAATTTTTTGATTTTCCAATTTTTCGTTGTCGCGGTTTTTCAATTTCCCAATTTTTCGTCATTTCAGTTTAGGAATTTTTCAATTTCTCTATTTTCAGATTTTTTCGATTCTTCATTTTTCAATTTTTCTTCGGCTTTTCAATTTTTCGATGTCAGTGTTCAGATTTTTCAATATTTCTCAGGATTTTTCAGTTTTTCGATTTTGAAATTTTAGATTTATTAACCTTTCGATTTTTTGATATTTTGATTTTTGGAATTTCTCAATTTTTCGGTTTTTGATATTTCTCGTTTTCAATTTTTCGATTTTTATGTTTTGGTTTTTGAATTTTTCAATATTTTAGTTTTGCGAAATTTCTATTTTTTACTTTTAGAATTTTCAAATTTTTGATTATTAGTTTTATTGATTTTCTATTTTTCGACTATTTTTACATTTACCGACTTTTCAAATTTTCGGTTTCTTAATTTGTCACCATTCAATTTTGGAAACTTTTCATTTTCTGGATTTTTCAATTTGTTCGATTTTTTAAATTTTTAATTTTTCGATTTATGAATTTCTCGATTTTTCGTTTGTTTTTTATTTATCAGTTTTTCAATTTTTTCATTTTTCAATTTGTTGAATTTCTCTAATTGTGGATTTATTGATATTCCGATTTTTCAATTTTTGAAATTCCCGATTTTCCGATGTATCACTTTTGGATTTTTTCAATTTCTTAATTTTTCTATTTACCATTTTTTTTATTTCTCGATCCATCTTTTTTTAATTGTTGAGTTTTTAATTTTCCGATTTTTCGATTTTCGCGTATTTCTATTTCTCAATT